TGTGTGTTTTCCTCCCTGTCCTTCTTCATAATTTGCCAAGCTCTTGGCATATGAAGACTATTAACTAAAGTGAAGGTACCAACTTGCTGTTCTTCCTCTAGGAAAAGTGATGGAGGCTTCAGGATCTTCTTCCCAGTCTCAAGACAACAATGGAATCCACAGAGAAACAGAAAACCTAGACTGTAAGTTTGCTTTCTCAGACCCTCTGAGCACAGCCTCTGGGGAAGTGTGGGACCATCAAAGACAATGCTCAGGTCATGATGGCCACATCAAAGCTGTAGCAAAGCAGTGATTTTCCATTCATGTGCTCCTTCCAGCCTGTTCCCACACTTCCTAGCTGAGCAGGTCCTCAGTTGCTCCCCAGATTTTGAGAAGTTTCTGGGCAGCTTGTTTTGGAAGTGGGGGGCGTCTCTAGAAGGTGGGAAGGGTCTCAGGCATCTGCCCTTGGAGAAAGGGAAGGTTTAGGGCTTGATCACAGGCTGCCCTCTGTGTGACTTAAGAGAACCCTGAGCCAGTACTGAGTCTGGAGGTCTCTAGGTGGGGTATTGGGGACAAGGGTCGAAGGGGGCTTAGAAAACCCTTTTCTAGGGTCTGTATGCAGAGGAATGTTTGCCTTGGGCTGTCTTTGACACCCCCACCCCTACCTAGGGATCTGAGAACATTGATCTTGGAAACTTTTCATTGGGCTTGGATATTCAGGGGAGTAGTTCTCCCTGATGGCTTGATGAGTGCTCCATGGAGAGGCTGTACTGTTGCTGCGGATGGGGCAGGGGGCAGGAAGCGCTCACCACCTTGCCTGTGTGCATCCAGACCAAGAGACAGAGTTCCACAAGCAAGATGGGAAGCCCCAGGAACGATATGAGAGAAAGAAGTCTTCCTCCTCCTCATCTTCCTCTTCTTCTTCTTCCTCCTCATCATCTTCCTCCTCCTCCTCAGGTATAGCAAGCATTCTTAGGACTGGGGTGTGACTTGATGGTACAGTGCTTGTCTCATATATACAGAGCCCTGGGTTCCATCCCCAGTGACACACACACACACACACACACACACACACACACACACACACACACTAATAGAAATACATTTAGAAAAATATAGGGCTGAATTTATAACAATATTGGAGCTATCATTTATTGAGTACTTACTTCCAGGTACTCTTCCAAGTACTTTACAGGTAAGAACTCAGCCAATTCTCACAGGACCCCATTAACCAAGATATAGTACTACTTACTGTTAGTCTCGTTTTTTACAGGTGAAGCACAGGGATGCTATGTGACCTGCTTTAAGAAAGCTCAGTAACAAACTTGAAGGTCTTTCTGGGACTGGGGAGTGTGTGGGAGTGGGTTCTCTGTCTGCTCAGTTGGAGCTTCAGCACTGTGATTTATTTTACATCCTGGGCTTGAGCTTACAATTCCTAGGCTTAGGCTGAGGGTGCGGCCCTGCATGGTTGGGTACTTGTTTAGCAAAAGCCCCAGGTTCCTTCCCCAGCACAGCACAAAACTGGTATGGTGACACATATCTATAATCCTACTACCAGGGAAGTAGAGGCAGGAGGATTAAAAGTGCACGGTCATCCTTAGCCAGTCTGGGCTACATGAATGAATAACTACTAAATAAAGCCAAGGATAAGAGCACATGTCTTTAATTCCAGAGCTTTGGAGGCAGAGGCAGAAAGATGGGCAGGCAGTTACAGGCTAGCCTGGGTCACACAGAGAAACTGCTCCAAGCAAACAGAAAATAAACACACCCTCTAAACCCCAAATGTATGTTATGACTAAATCATAGGCAAAACTAAAACAGTTGTCAGTCACTTGATGGACATTGTACCTGGCTGATAGAATCTGGAGTAGGTTTTATTTATATTTTTCCATATTGTTTTATATTTTGCAATGAAGATCCTTTTTTCTTTCTTGTTGAAAGAAAAAAAAACTCTAGAAAAGAAAGAAATAGTTGGGCATGATGGCACATGCCTGGGATCCCCGTACTCAGGAGACAGAGGCAGGAAGATTGCCACAAATCTAAGGCTATTCTGCTCTACATAGTGAGTTCCAGATCAGCAGGACTACATAATGAGACCCCGTCTCAAAAGTAAAAGGGGTTGGGGTGGGAATAAAGTCACTCAACATCTTATTCATTATGATAAACACACATCTGTTATTTTGATTTGTAAGCAGCCTTCTACATCCATGGACTCTGCATGCTCAGAGCCAGCTCACCAAAGGGTGAAAAACAGACAAACTGTGTCTCTACTGAACCCAGATGGCTGCTTTATTGTCACATTACTAAACACCACCAAGTATGAATGATGTAGCATTTACACTGTAGTAGGTATTACAAGTAATCTAGAGGTGGTTTAGAGAATAGAGAGGGGTCGGCAGGATGGCCCAGTGGGTGAAGGTGCTCACTGCCATGCTGACAGCGAACCTGAGTTCAATCCCCAAGACGCACATGACCCACACAGTACAAGGAGGAAAGCAACTCCTGAAAGTTGTACTCTGAACTCCCACACATGCGCTGTGGTGTATGCTTCCCCGACCACATGCAAATATTTTTTAAGTTAAGAAAAATAATACAAAAGGACACGTACAGTTTCTATGCAAATACTAGACTGTCTATAAGGGACTAGACAGTCAAATAAGGGACTGGCGTGTCTGTCGATTTTGATGTGTGTGGCAAGTCTTAGAACCTTCTCCCATGGGTACCAAGGGACAACCGTATAACCAGATATCTGTGTCAGTTAAAATGACATGAACAGTGACTTGGAAGCACAGCTAATTGACGTCCTGGAGTTTTAGTGAATCCACAATGGATCAGGAAGTCCCTACGCACACTGAGGGAACTCATCTGGGGCCATCTGGGTAGTCCTGGGAGAAAGCCCTGTAGCCCAGAGCTCCTGGCTCTGAATTCTTAGACCATTGACTAGTCTAAGGTGTACACAACTCAGCCATGCTGTCCGTCCCTTCAGGGTCCTGCTCCAGGCTAGGCAGCCTGAGGCAACGGAAGAGGCAGGCTGTGACCTTCAGGAGCTCAGGTGGGTGGAGAGACAGGCATCATCCCGTCCTCATGGTGACTGACTCAGGCACAAGACAGTTGGTGCATAGAAACCCCCGGTGAGGAGGATAAGGTGAGGGTCTGAGCAGCATGAATAGGGTTCCTATAGGACGTGTGACTTCAGTTTAACTTCACAATCAAGGAGACAAGTGGGAACGAGTTCCAGGCCAGTAGACACACAGCAGCGGACACCCAGAGTCCTGCGACATCACGAGGACAGAGATGATACAGCATCGTGCTTGGTGGACTCTCCGTAAGAGGGCGTATTATAGAACTTGGTTGTCTCTTCAGGAAAGCCTCCCCAGGCAGCAGCAGAAGTCGGGCTCAGCCAGACAATACGAAGAGGACAGTGACACAAAAAGTTAGGAGCCACTGTCCTAACCTGCAGCCAGGCAAAGTCCCTTCCTCCGAGACTGTGGTCCTGGCTCCTTCCAGCCCGAGGCCCTACAGCTTGTATTTGCTTCTCACAGACAGCAGCGATGAGGACCATCATTCCAGAGGCCCCAGGGAACACCGAAGGAAGCCACGAAGGGACGGCTCTCCTGGTAGGTAGCAGGCTCCCCACCTTTCCTTTGCTTCTTGGCTCATAGCAGAGCTCAGTGGGCTGGTCCAGGAGGTTCCTCACGATGCTGTTCATACCTGGATGAGTGGGAAGTAGCCTACTTACCATCCGACAACAGCTACGACAGCCAGACAGAAGCAGGAAGCTGGGCTCTGTCTTGGTGATAGTCATGGTTGTCGTTTTGTGCGTTTTGAGGCAGGGTTTTCACTGTGTGGTCTTGGCTGTCCTAGAACTCACTATGTAGACCAGGCTGACCTCAAACTCACATAGATCCTCTGCTTCTGCCTCTGCCTCCTGAGTGCTGGGGAAAGCGTGTGCCACCACACCCTGCTTTGTTTTTGTTTTTGTTTTGATTTTCGAGACAGGGTTTCTCTGTGTAGCTTTGGTGCCTGTCCTGGAACTCACTCTGTAGACCAGGCTGGCCTGGAACTCACAGAGACCTGCCTGGCTCTGTCTCCCGACTGCTGGGATTAAAGACTTGAGCCACCATCACCCGGTGCTTTGTTTGTTTTTCATGAGCACTTCTCTAGCTTTGGCATGATAGGTGGCAAGTCAGAGAACTCACTTGGCCTCAAATATATTTGTAAAAAAAAATCTTACACAAAACAGGAAGAAGGGGGCTGATGAGATGGCTCAGCAGGTTAAAGGCACCTGCCACTAAGCTTGATAAGCTGAGCTGCATGCCTGGGACCCACATCGGAGAGAACCAACTTCCAAAAGTGGTCCTTCGACCTCCGCATGCGCACTGCGGTGTGAGCTCCATGCCCCCATGCAAATAAATAAATAAATAAATAAATATTAAAAAAGAATAGTTTACAAAACAGGAAAACATTAAGATATTAATAGTAATTATGACAGTGAAGCTGTGAGGCATATTTTTATTCATTTATTTTTGCAATACCAGGGTGGCACCCAGGGTTCATGCAAGTGTTCTTCCACTGAGCTACATTGAGCTACAACCTCAATATGCCCCCTTTTGGAAAATGTATCATTTATGTGTATGAGTGTTTTGCCTGCACGTATGTATGTGTACCATATGCATGGTGCCCACAGAGGCCAGAAGAGGGTGTCTGATCCCCTGGAAGATTGTTCTGCTGTGGGTGGGGGTTGGGAGCCGAACCTGGGTCCCCTGCAAGAGCAGCCAGTGATCTTAACCCCTGAGCCATCTTTCTAGTCCTGGGGAATCACTTTTGCCTAAGTAAATGAATGAATGAATGAATGAATGAATGAATGAACGAATAAATAAATAAATAAATAAATAAATGTTGTGAAAAGAAAAGAACATCAGGGAAAGAATGGGTATTAATGAACGAATGTCTATCACAGAGCCTGGTACACAAAGTATTTGATAAATGCTACTTACGATACTAAGAGTTGAGCATAGTCCTACCTCTAGAGATACAACTAGCTGGGGGTCTGGGTATGTAGCTCACTGCGAAGTCTGTGCTTAGCATGCAGGAGCCCTGAGTTCAATCGCTAACACCAGTAATGATGGTGACGATAAACGAAGCAACAGCAAATTGAAAACAACAACCCCAAAGCAGGAATTCCGGGTTTAGGAGAGACCTGTGGGGTCACCCCTCACTGTGTGTGTTTGGTAGAATCATTTCACTTTCTGTTTTTCTCTCACCACCCCACATCCCTGTGCTGGGATCAGATCCGTGTCTCACACGTGCTAGGGGATCAGCACATGAGCTCTCCCACTAAGCCATTCCCTGAGCTGTAATCAAACCTTTGAGCCTCAGCTGCCACTCCTGCTCGTGTGCCTTGGTGTCTTCTCCGCACTCTTTCGATGAGAACCGATAGGAAATAGTCAATATAAATTACTTAGCCCACCATTGGCACACCTTAGAGCTCAATAAATGACGAGTATTCTTAATATATAAAAATTTGAAGGATAATTTATTTGTGTGTGTGAGTGTTTTGCCTGCCTATATGTATATGTGCCATGTACATGCCTATGCCCACAAAGGCCAGAAGAGGAGATCGCCTGAAACTGGAATTACAGGCAATTGTGAGCTGCCATGTGGGGACTGGGAACTGAACCTGGGTCCTCTGCAAGAGCAGCCAGTGTTCTTAACCTCTGAGCCATCTCTCCTGCCCGAGGTAACTATTCTTGACTGAGTGTCAGGTCCTGCCAGACCTGCAGTTTCATATCAGTAACAGAACATAGTAACCTCTGGGGCACTGAGGGTAAATAACTGTGACTTTTGGAGACTTCAGATGTAGGGAGATGGAGGTGGTCCTCAGACACTGGGCGAGTTGACCAAGGTTTGTCTCCACCCAGGTGCTGACCACGGGGAACTGGAGGTGCTGAAAGACGATCTTCAGCTCTGTGGAGGTAACTGCTTGTCCCCTGGCTTTGAAGAAGAGAATCATGAGGGCTGAGGGCCCAGTGGGTGTAACAAGGGGTGGAATCTCATGATCTGAAGACTCCCAGGCAGACAGATGAGCCAGTGAGGCCACAGCCATTCAGGAGGGACTGGGGTGCCCTCTACACACCTCTACAATGGTTCAAGGACGGTCAGTCCTCTCTGCTGATTGGAACCCCAACTTTCGGCATGGTTGACTGGTCACCCAACAGATCTGGGTGCCAGTTTGCCATCAGCGCAATGAGTGCGACTCACTCTCTTGGGACCCTGCTCTGTTTAAGAACGGCTCAGATCCCCCAGCCCCATTGATGAACTGATTCCAAGAGCCCCATACGATGGTGAGGAGGTGTAGAAAACCCGGAGAGGAAGTGTGAATGGCAGGGCGCTTCGGCCAGCAGCACTACAATGAAGTAGGAATGTCTACAGATTGACCTAGTTCATCGAAGAGCCCTGCAGATGCACACTACCCAAGGAGAGTCAGGACTCCCAACAACCACCTAGTCCCCCAACCCCTGGTAGTGACCCAGAGAAGCATCAATAAACACGGGTACACTCAGAGGAGAAGATCCACATATTGGAATATAACATATGGCTGCCTCTGTGCTCTGGCATTGTGGGTGCTCTTTATATTGTTTTATTTGCTTATCTGAATTTATTTAGTCGTTTATTTTAGCACTAGAGACTGAACTCAAGAATTGTTTCTTTGTTGTTATTTTGATTTTTTTAAAAAGATTTTTATTTTTACTTTGTTTTAAAGATTTGTTTATTTTAATTTGTGTGTGAGGTGAGTGTTTTGCCTACATGTATGTCTGTGTACCATGTGCATGCCTGTGGAGGCTAGAAGAGGGATCTGGATCTCCTAGAATAAGAGTTACAAACAGATTCCAGCTGCTATGAGGGTGGGGACCAAACCCAGGTCCTCTGAAAGAGGAGCAAGAGGAGCTATTCCTCCTGTCCCTATTTTAATATATAT